GTGTCCTGCTGCGGCTATGTAGATGAAGCACTGGACTGCTACCCAAAAGGACAGTGGTTTAAATCCACCAACCACTCCTTGGAAACCCTATGCAGGGTTGCTATGAATCAGAACCAACTTAAAGGCACTTAACAACAACATGGTTATGTATGCCACATGACCCTACCCTTTAATCTTTAGGAAAGAAAGCAATCATTCCCTGAAACTGCTGTATTTGGTCCCCCTGTAGTTCTGGCTCTTTGTGATGTCAGTCCTAAAGGTCACATCAGACCTGCCTCAACTCAAAGTCCACATCAAGCATGGGTAATACTGGGCTGATAGTATACAATTTAGTGCTTGTTCTCAATCCCATCCATCTTAAATATGTTGCTGTTATTGTTAAGTGCCATCGAGTTGATTCTGACCCATAGCTAACCTGTATAAGGTTTCCAAGGAGCAGCTGGTGAGCTTGAACCGCCGACCTTGCAGTTCAAACTGACTTTGTGGTCTAGTGCATTTACCCACAGTGCCACACCTAGACTCCAACCTTAAATATAATAAGATATAAATTTCTGAGATATAAAAAAAAAAACAACCTTAGATATAACAGAGATTAAACAAGCAAATTAGGGAGCAGATATGATAAAAGAGAGATGCCAACCTGTGTGGAGATCTCTGAAGAACAAGGAAGCAGAAACTGAAGACAGGGTACCATCCTACAGAGCCAACCAAGAAAAAAAACTGTCCCCTATGGTCAGCACCCTATGCTCTGCATTTGGATTTCCAGCCACCTAAACTAGAGAGTCCTGGTGTGGTGCTGGAGGCTAAGCACTGGACTGCGAACCACAAGGTCAGCAGTGTAAATCCAACAGCTGCTATACAGGGGCGCTATCAGTCGAATTCGACTTGACAGCACTTAACAACAACAACTAACTGCAGGGTCAGTACTTCAAACCCAATAGCTACTCCTCGGAAACCTTATATAGGGTTCCTATGAGTCTGAAATGACTCAATGGCACTTAACAACAATAATAACAAACTGTGAAAATATCAATTTCTGCCACTATATGTGGTATTTTGTTAAAGTCACACTATTTGATTAAGACATATGGTAGTGGTGGTTATATGCCATGGAGTCAGTTCCAAGGCTATAAATCTTTATGGGAGCAGAAAGCTTCATTTTTCTCCTATGGAACTGCTGATAGCTTTAAGGAAGATATTGGGTTTGAACCTTTCCGTTAGCAGTCCAGTGCTTATCCTACAGCACCATAACAGAACTCCTTTAATTTAAATCAATTAAAATTATAGTTCCTCAGTCTCACTAGACACATTTGAAGTATTTAATAGTGATGATTTGGCCTCATATTAAGCAAAGATATAAGACATATCCATCATTGCAGAAAGTTCTATTGGAAAGCACTTGTCTAGGTGGTGGTGTGGGGTTAGAATTTGGTGGCTAACTGTAAGGTCAGCAGTTCAAACTCAGCAGCTGCTCCATGGAAGAAAAATGAAACTGTCTGTTCCCATAAGGATTAACAGTCTCAGAATCCCTATATTGGATTTTTATGAGTTAGAATCAACATGATAGTAACGACTTTGTTTTGTTAATTGTTATTGTTTTGTTTCTGGTCTAGCCCAATAAGAAATTTTTATTCACATATAGCAAATTATTTCCCCACATGAAACCCTTTGTTAAAGAGTGTGGTGCCAACCATCACCTAAAGTGAATTCCAGAAGGCTTAGTGAGTATACAGAGGCTAGAGAGCACACGTGTTGTGAAGTTTCCAAGGCTGGCTATTAGGATGGATCCCCATATTAACCTTATGCTAAGGTTAATATTTTAGCTCTGGAGTGTACATCATATTTTATAGTTGTTATTATTTTTGCGAATCATACCCAAATGATCGAGAAGTAACCAAACCACCGTTATACTTAGGAGAATATCTGCGTATGTATGTTTTTTAAAGGTGTGGCAATACTTCTACCAAAAAGTATAACAAAACTGCAAATTGTTTCCAGTACCAGAACAAGAATACCTAAACCAAAAACCAAACCCACTGCCACTAAATTGATTCTGACTCAGTGACCCTACATAGGGTTTCTGAGACTATAGATCTTTCTGGGAGCAGATAATCTCCATCTCTCTCCCATGGAGTTGCTAATGGTCTTGAATTGTTGACCTTGTGGTTAGCCCAATACTTAGCCTACAGTACCACCAGGATGCCTAGAATGAGAATTATTGTTGTTAAGTGCCATCAAGTCAATAGTGACCATGTATAGGGTTACCGAAGAGCAACTGTTGGGTTTGAACCACTGCACTTGAGGTTAACCATCCAGTGATTGCTGGACTGCAACCTGGTGTGCCAGGTTGTTGTTGTTAAGTGCCATCCTGTAGTAAGTTTCTTAGACTTTTTATATCTTTCTCCCATTGAGTGGCTGGTGGGCTTAAATTGCTGGCCTTGTGGTTCGCAGTCCAGTGCTTACTTTATGGAGCTATAGTGTTCCTACTCCAAGAGCAGGAGGCAATAAAATCTTTGTAATTTTTGTGAGGGGTCCTGGGTAGTGCAAATGATTTTTGTGCTCATTTGACAATGAAAAGTTGGAGGTTCAAGCCCATCCAGAAATATTTTGGAAAAAGGGTCTGGCAATCCACATTTGAAAAATCAGCCATTGAAGCCTCCTTGGAGAACAGTTCTACTCTGACACACATTGAGACACTGTGAATTGGCACAGACTCAACAGTAACCGAAGAAGAGAGATTTTGAAAAGAAGTAGAGTCTACACAACAATGGACTCAGTACGATTTAAATGAAACCAGTTCTATGATGAAATGAATCCCTTTTGTGACCTATTGCCTTAGTTGTTTGGAAAAATATTTTAAGAGATTCTTTTCCCCTTAAACCCTGATAGATCATTAAATTTGCCCTAGTTCTTTGGAGAAACTACTTCCAGGTTACTTTCTAATCTAGAGGATTATTACTTTTGTCCAGGAAAGAAACTAATCTCCACAAACAGAGAATGTTACTTTTGTACAAAACCTGAGTTGATTGATTGGCTCAACCACAATCTTGCAAGGGATTGGTTAATTTACTATTCACATGATTTGGCAATCCACCCAACAGGATTAAGTGATTGTGACTCAATGAGAGGATTGATTGGCTCATGATCCTGCTAGGAGGCTTATGCTTTGAAATTGGCAAGGAGTTTCTTACATAAAAGTATCTCTGTTGGTACAGTGGATTAAGCATTGGGTTGCTAACCTAAAGATTAATGGTTTGAACCCACCAGCTGCTCCTTGAGAGAAAGACGAGGTAATATACATCTGTAAATATTTATAGTCTCTGAATATCCTATGGAACTTTTTCTATTCTGTCCTATATAGGGTTAGTATGAATTAGAATGGATTCAATGGTAATGGGGTTTGGGGTTGCTTATATAAGCAACCAACCCCATAGAGACTTTAGAGGCAAGGAGAGATGTCATTGCGGATATCAGGTGGATCTTGGCTAAAAGCAGAAAATACCAGAAAGATGTTTACTTGCGCATTATTGACTATGCAAAGGCATTCAACTGTGTGTATCATGACAAGGTATGGACAACATTGTGAAGAATAGGGATTGCAGAACACTAATTGTGCTCATGAGGAATCTGTACATAGACCAGGAAACAGTCATTCAAACAGAACAAAAGGACACTGAAGGCTTAAGATCAAGAAAGGTGTGTGTCAGGGATATATTCTGTCACCATATTTATTCAGTCTGTACAAAGGGCAAATAATCCAAGAAGCTAAATTATATGAAGAAGAATGTGGCATCAGGACTGAATGTAAACTCATTAACAACCTGCCGTATACAGATGATACAACCATGTTTACTGGAAACAAAGATCCCTTAAAAGATTTACTGATGAAGATCAAAGACCACAGCCTTCATTATGGATTGCACCTCAGTGTAAAGACAACAAAAATCCTCACAACTGAACTAATAAATAACATCATATTGAATGGAGAAAAGATTGAAGTTGTCAAAGACTTCATTTTTCTAGATCTGCTGTCATCAACACTTAGAGATGCAACAGTCAAGAAATCAAAAGACGTATTTCATTAGGTAAATCTTCTGCACAAAACCTCTCTAAAGTGTTCAAGAGTAAATATATCAGTTTGAAGACGAAGGTGAATCTGACACAAGCTATCGTGTTTTCAATTGCCTCACACACAGGTGAAAGTTGGACAATGAATAAGAAAGACTGTAGAAGAGTTATGATGTTGGAGAAGAATATTAAAAGAACCATGGACTTCCAGAAGAACAAGCAAATCTGTATTGGAAGAAGTACAGCCTGAATGCTCCTTACAAGTCAAGATGGTGAGACTTTGTCTCTCAGACTTCAGACATTATCAGAATGGATCAGTCCCTGGAAAAGGACATCATGCTTGGTAAAGTGGAAGGTCAATGAAAAAGAGGAAGCCCCACCCCCACCCCCAATGAGATGGATTAGCACAGAGGCAGCAACAATGGACCCATGTGTGATAATTCTGAAGATGGTGCAGGTTGAGGCATTGTTTCATTCTGTGAGTATAGGGTTGCTGTGAATTAGAATCAACTTGATGGCACCCAAGAAAAAGAAGACGAACTTGGAGCAGAGCAGTCTGAACTTGAGGTCCTCATGAGGGGAGCCTTGAAAAGAGCTTTAATACAGGCAAGGGTCATAACACTAGAGAGGGCAAGGAACTCAAGTAACCTGGTGGCAGAACAGACAGGAAGGGGTCTGATAACAGAGAGCCAACAGCTGCTGCTAGGAAAATAAGTGAGCTGAGCAAGTTGATACACAGATTAGAGGCAGAGAAGCCAAAGGCAGAGGGGAATGCATGACCAAGAAGGGCATGCATGGCTGTGGGGGAGCGTGTAAGGCCAAGAGAAGGGCTGCTTGAATGTCATATGGCTGTAAAGGGGTAACTAACTAGTGTGACCACGAAGGGACTGCTAGTCAAGAGCATCTGAGACAGCTGTCTTGTATTGAATAAGGAAGAGATGTGCTCTCAACTTCAGGGGAATCTTCCAAGTCTTTCCTATTTTTTCTGATTCAGTTTCTGAGTTGTTCCTGCTGTTCCTAAGTTGTATCCTATAACTTTTCTAATAAATCATGTATCTTTGAGTATGGTGAGTTCTATGTGGCAATTGCAACAAATTATCCAACTCAGCAGAGAAGTACAAAGTGTAGGGGAAATGGTTGGTGCCAGAAATAGTGGAAGAGGTAGAGAGTATAGGTATATCTCACCTACACCTCACAGGAACCAGCTTTGAGTTGATCTTATCCCTTGTGGATTTAGACAGGCCATCTAATAATACATAATACATGGCATTCAGTGCACATTATGGTACAGTGTTTTCATAACAGAACAAACATTGCTTCAGTTATAACTGGGCTCAGTAAGGTTCTTCAGGAGGGCCTGCTAGTCTGCTGTCTGGGGTTATTGTGCACAGAAATTTGCAAGTTTGGGTAGACCAAATAGGAGGTCTTAACTAATTGGACACTGAGAGTAAGACAAATTGGAGCTGATGACAGTGTTGCAGTAATTGTGCACACCCAGCAAGGTGCTACCTGGAAAATCCATGAACACAGCTACAAACATGTTTGTTATTTTCACTCTTATTTACTTTGTTCTGGAGACATATAAACTGACAATGTGTATATATGCTTAAAATAGTAGGTTTGTCCCATTTGTAACTGATCTAAAGGCAGATATTTAAGAGTTCAGAGATAATAAAAAAATGATTATTTTACATAAAATGTGGAAAGAAATGGTCTGCCTTTGTGTCTAATATGGTGTTTTAAAATATTAGTTACATTTTAACCAAGTGAACTACTCCCAGTAATATTTTTTTCATATTTTTCATTTCACTTTGCAAAAAACATAAACCCAATTTTAAAACCAACACCAATTTCCATCTAATCAGTTCCAATCTGTGGCAATCCCAAGCGTGTCAGAATAGAACTGGGCTCCACAGGGTTTTCAATGGTTGATTTTTCAAAAGTAGATTGTAAGGCCTTTCTTCTGAGGCACCTCTGGGTGGCCTTGAACCATCAACCTTCTGGTTACCAGTTGTGTCAATCAGCTATTTGCAACACCCAGGGTCTCCATGAATAAGAAATCTACATATACTGCTATATCCACCCAATGGGATATTGTTGTTGTTATGTGCTGTGGAGTCGGTTCTGACTCATAGCGACCCTGTATAGAGTTTCCAAGGCTGTAAATCTTTTCAGGAGCAGAAAGCCTCATCTTTCTCCCACGGAACACCTGGTAGTTTCAAACTGCTGACCTTGCAGTTCACAGCCCGATTCGTAACCACTATGCTACCAGAGCTCCTTATTAACAGCATTTTAAAACAATGTGCTTGGAAATTTACTTGAGACTGATATGTTTGTAAGATGTATTATTGAATTAAAAAATAAGCATACTGCCTTTTTAAAATTATATGACACTGTGGAAAAGTCAATAAACTATAGAGATGATATCAAACATCAGCGGATGCCAGAGGTTCAGGGGAAGGTGGGAAGGTATGACTTGGTAGAGAACAGGGCATTTTTAGGTCCATGAAATTGTTCTATATGATACTACACTGGAACATGAGATGATGAGTTTGTCAAAAGTCGTAGAGCTGTACAACACACAATAAACCTTAATGTGAATTGTGGACTTCAGTTAAAAGTTACATATCCATAATGATTCATAGAGTGTAACACATGCACTCACCAAATAATAGGAGAAACATATTGTAGACAGGAATAGGGGTATACAACTCTGTCGTTTCTGAACAATTTTTCTGTAAACCTAAAATTGTTCTTAAAAAAATGATTGGGGTTTATTTTATAAAAGAGGTCAGTTGTAGACACAATTTCACTAAAAAACATCATTGCAAAATCATTATGTATACTTTCTATGGTCATCTATTAATTTCCACCCACACGTTTGTGTATAGAGATACAGAAAAAAATTAGGAAGGATGCACAACAAATTAGTGATGTGATGCTTCTGGGGAATGGGATGAGGCCTGGGATGGGAAGTTGGATGTGGTGAGAACTCTGGCCTTATCCCAATGTTTTGATATTTTAAAAGCGAATTCACTTAGGGATTTTTTTTTTTTTTTAATAGTTAAAAGCTAATTTTGAAATAGATACTAGTAGTTCCCAATAGGAGTTCTGGTGTGGCACTGCAGCAAAGTGCATTGGACCACAAGGTCTGTTTGAATTGTAAGGTCAGCGGTTCAAATTTACTCAGCTGCTATGAGTTGAGCCAACTCAATAGCACTTAACAACAACAACAGAGCTCCCGATAGCTTGAACAAAAATTTATAATGTAAAGATTAGTTTAACTACTCTTGATGTTGTTGTTGTTAGGTGCTGAAGAGTCAGACTTGACTCTTATGGTTTCTGAGGCTTTAAGTCTTCATGGGAGCAGAAAGCCTCATCTTTTTCCTACAAAGTGGCTGGTTCTCTTAATATAGATGCTACTATTTTAAATCCTTCTAGAAATATTAGCTTGAATTCCTTCAAGTACAGGAAAACTTAACTCTTGCTTATTTATCTTTAATTTGCTTTAATGTTGTAATTGTGGATAAGATTGGAAAAACAAAAACAAAAAACATATGTTCTCTCAATTAACCAGATATTGAGAGAGATGCTCTTACTCAAATAATTGCATCTGTATCTAGTCTTTATCTCTAGGTAGCTGGTGTGGTGCTATAAGATAGGCATGAGGTCAGTGATTAAAATCCAACACCTGCTCCTAGGCAGCCCTGTACATGGTTGCTATGTGTTGGAACCAATTCAACAGCACTGAACAACAATAACAGTGATTTTAAAAATATATTATTCTTGGTATCATTTTTATTTTTCAAATTTTCTAAAATAAGAAAATGTTGATTTTCTAATAATATAATAAAAAGAAAGCAGAAAAAGCTTTTACTTATACTTAATATTTTTAAATGCTTGTGTTATAATTGTTCTTTTCTTATTTTTCAGGTCATGGTACGACATAACCGCATAGAACTTCTCAACCATCCTGTTTGTAAAGAATATTTATGTATGAAATGGTAGGTATTGAGTAGTATTTCCTTTGTATTAATGCTTAAATTTATGTTTAAAGTTTTCCAAATGTACTATATTTTAAATTTAGTAACATGTCTTCCAAGTTTACCATGTTTTAATGGTTCAGATTTACTTTAACAGATGACTAGGGAAGGAAATGGGTCACAATGGCGAATTTGGATAGTAAGAATACTGACATTGTTTTTCTTTGGCATCAAATGCAATATTTTAAGGGGAAATCATCCTGTAGGACATGAAGAAGCATTCAAAAGCCTGTAGATCACTGGGTGGTGAGGTGAGAGGTCTGAGCTAGGGAAGGACATGCAAATTGGATTCTGAGTAATGGACCAACCAAGAGCTCAGGATTCCCATTAACTGGTGAAATACGTCAAGCAAGTCATGTTTTCTCAGAAGTTGAGAATTCTTTTCTGAAAAGGAAAGAATTAGAAGATCTTCTTGGCTCGAAAGTTCAGTGACTACAGCAAATAGATTTCTGGGAGAGATGACAATCACTTGTTCCACAGGTATTGTGTAAATATTTTTGTTTGAAATGGATCAATTATAATGTGGTTATTTTCTTCCTAGGCTGGCTTATGGGTTTAAAGCCCATATAATGAATTTGGGATCTTATTGTCTTGGTCTCATACCTATGACTTTGCTTGTTATCAACATAAAGCCAGGAATGGGTTTCAACTCAACTGGAATCATCAATGAAACAAGAAATCATTCAGAAATGTTAGACACCAAGGTATTTTCCATTGGTTTTTATATTTCAAATAGTTAAATAAAAGTTTAAAGAACGTTTACTTGTATTTAGGAATTCTGGTGGTATAGTGGTTACGAATAGGGCTGCTAACCTTAGGTTCAGCAGTTCAAAACTACCAGCTGTTCCGTGGGAGAAAGATGAGGCTTTCTGCTCCTGTAAAGATTTACAGCCTTGGAAACCCTATACAAGGTCTCTATGAGTTGGAACCAACTCTGTTGCACATAACAACAACAACAACAAACCTATAAGAAACCCACTGCTAGGAAGTTGACCCTATAGAGGGTTTCAAGACTAAATCTTTATGGGTGCAGAAAGTTTCATCTTTCTTCCAGAGTGGCTGGTGGATTTGAACTGCTGACCTTGAAGTTAGCAGTGCAGTGTTATCCTATAGTGACACCAGGGCTTCTTAATATTTATATTTGAAATACCAGGATTTTGATTATGCTCAGTGTTGTATAGAATTTATATATGGTACCCTGTACCTCTTAAAATTATTTGTGGAATGAGAAGGAATAGAAAAGAACTATCTGTAAGTCAATTTAATAGTAATGAACACATGTGAAATGTTAGCTTAAATGCTAAATGACTTAAATTTAAAATAGGTCAACAGCACAATAGATTTGTGGTTACTAGGCACTGGAGGCAGGAGAAGATGAGAAGTTACTGCTTAAAAGGGACAGAGATTCTTTTGGGGATGATGAAAAACTGTAACTAGATAGTGGCAATTGTACAACATGTACTGAATGTCACTGAATTGTACAACTGTGCGCTTTAAAATGGTCAAAAAAAAAATATATATATATGTATTTTTCACAATATAAATAAAACAGGGTTACAGATTCATATTCTTTTAGAATTAAATTGTCAATTTTTGAACATCTTTTAATAGGACATTACAATGAATATGTACTATTTTGATATTTGTATCTGCATCTGTAATTTTGTGTTTAAATCAAACGTGGACAGTACATAGAAAAAAATGAAGCAAAAAAATAGTGGAAATTATAAAGAATTTAAAGGTGTTTTGATATATATATATATATAATAACTACTTGTCTTACATTTCTTTATTGTTTCAGAATTCCTACGCTATAAAAGTCTGTATGATATTAGTTTTTTTATCAAGTATACTTGGATATTGCAAAGAAATAGCCCAAATTTTCCAACAGGTACTAAATATGTTTTATATTTCCAAATAGCTTAGTATACAGAAAATTAATTGTTTAATTTTATTTGAAGTATTATGTCAGAATACGCTCCTCAATTTAGCTAATATATAGACTAGAAATACCTAGCATAATCTTTTCAGGACATGAAAATCATACTATTTTAGTAACTTTATTTCATGTTTGAAAGAGAGATGAAATATTTTTATCAATTTTTAATGAGGCTGTCTGACTACAATGTTCATTATGATTTATTTTTGTGCATTTCTCTTATTTTATTTTTTATATTTTATTAACACAGTAGTTGGATTTTTAATTTGACCATTTTGAATATAAATATTTATAAAGGACCTGCTTGGCCCAAGATTGCATTTCAAAGAATTTGAATTTATTTTTTAAATTCAATTTATTTTTTAAATTGAATTTATTTTTTAAACATCAATGACTTTCTTTTTTGGAAAAACTATCAAGTCACCATAAAATAATTCTTACTTGACACTCCATTTTTCCTAAATGGGTAAACCAAGCTCAGATCAGACCTGAAAATTATGTAAATTATGTGGCCATCTTTACTTTGGTTGAGTAAGTGGCACTGGTCTTCTGTTTCTCATTGTGGTACGTTAAAGTCTTTTATTTCTTTTTATTTGTATATGTTTTGTAACTGGTATTTTTTTCTGAGTCATGTTCTCTTTTACAACACCTCATTTCCTGCAGAAATTTTCCTTTTTACATCAAATAAGCATATAGATATTTGGATTAAAGAATGCTGACTATAATAATGTCGTGCATTTATTACTTTGTATTTCAAGTTATTTCATTTATATATGCTTTCAGTTAACTGACTCGATTCTGAGAGTTAGGCTGTATCAATCTATTCTATCTAAATGATTTTGGAAAGATTGTTTAATCTCTCTTGATATAATTTTAATTTCTTAAAACAAGATTTGTAGTCTAGATTAAACTATTAAACTATATGGTTTCCTTATCATATTTGATTTCTGCCTTTTCTTATTGATGTTCAAATGGTCTGTTGTACAAGAAGTTTGATGTCCAAAACATGAAAGCTTTATAAACATCATTTTGATTTGCTCTCATTTCTTACAATACATGTCTCAAACCTCCTTAGAAACAGATTGAGCTCCTAGGTCAGGTTTAGTTCATATATTTCTTAGAAATTCATATGCATGTGTTCCTATGGACAGGAAGGTCCCAGGAAATACTGAATCATCTTTTAGTCCTAAAGAAGTCTCCTTAAAGTAGACTGGATCTCTATAGGGAAACCTAGAAACTTGTAAGATGTCCTTAATCATCAAAATCCCCAAGTGATGGGTCAACAGAAGTACACTGGGCCATTTCCAACTCTGATTGAAAGTCAAGCCCAGAATGATAAGATTGGTCCCCTGGCTTCTCTTCAGCTGACTGTAGTGCCAGGAAAAAAAAAAAAAAAAAGTGTTACTGGTTGCATATAAAACCATCTGTAAGATGCCAGGTGCTTACATGTGGTAATTCTTCTATCTTTTCAACCCCAGAAAATGAATTACTTTGGGGATTATAGCAATGGAGCTGAATGGATTATCTATACAACCAGCATCATTTTCGTGTTGCCCTTGTTCATTAGTATACCAGCTTATGTGCAGTGGCAGTGTGGAGCAATTTCTATATTCTTCTATTGGATGAACTTCTTATTGTATCTTCAGAGGTAAAACCAGATTGAATGAATTCTACACCCTTTACACATTTTTAATATTAAAATAAACACTACTAGAAATGATTTATATTTCTAACTGGCTTATTGATCTTTTCCTAGTTGCTTTAAATTGTGAAGATGTCTTTTATAACCTATTAAGGAAGAAGTTGGTTCGGGAGTTCACAGTTTACACTAATATTTCTAAACATCAGCACTATTGATATTTTGGGTCAAATAACCCTTTCTTGCGGTGTCCTGTCCTGTGCATTGTAGGATATTTAGTGACATTTCTGATCCACTAGTTGCTAGTAGTTTGATATCCAGTTTTGACAGCAAAACCTATCCCCAAACTTTGCCCAATATTCCCTGGGTAGTAAAATAGTCAACCATTGGACTAGACAAACCTAGGTTAAATGTGGAGAGGCCTTGGGAATATTAAGGGTCGTTAATCTTATATCAAGGAACTCTGGTAGCGTAGTTGAGCTGTTAACCTCAAGGTCAGCAGTTTGAAACTACCAGCCATTCCTTGGGAGAAAGATGAGGCTTTCTGCTCCTGTAAAGATATATAGCCTTGGAAACCCTTTACAGGGTTGCTATGAGTCACAACAGACTCCACACACCTCCTCCCCCACCACCACCACCATTCTTGTATTATCACTTGGTATTATTTAGTGAAGTGTTTTTGATAGTTCATGTTCCGTTTACGACTTTTGGGAAAACTACTCAAAATGAAGTGATATACATAGGGAAAAAAAATGACCTGGTATGGAAAAAAGTCATACCAGAAAGATGTTTAACTGTGCTTTATTGACTATGCAAAGATATTCGATGGTGTGAATCTTAACAAACCACTGATAGTGTCATGAAGAATGAGAATCACAGAACAGTTCATTGTACTCAGGAGGAACCTGAATACAGACCTAGAGAAATTCTTCACAACCGAACAAGGGAATACTGAATGGTTCAAAATCAAGAAAGGTCTGCCTTCAGGTTGTATCCTTTTACCATATGTATTTAGTTAGTATGCCAAGCAAATAATCCAACAAAATGGATTATATGAAAAAGAATGTGGCATCAGGGTTGGAGGAAGACTCATTATCTATCTGCAATATGCAACTGCAAAACCTTTGCTGGAGGCAAACTTACTTAAAATACTTACTGATTAGGATCAAAGGCTACATGTTTAGTATAAACTGTACCTCAATATAATGATAATGAAAATCCTCACAACTGGTCCAATAAATAACATAATGATAAATGGAGAAAAGATCAAATTTGTCAAAGACTTCAATTTGCTTGTCACCATAACCAATGGTCATAGAAGTAAGTCAAGAAACTAAACAAGGTATTTCTTTGGAGAAATCTGTTAAAGATCAAGATGTCATTTTGAGAACTAAGGTACAGCTGAGCCATGTCATGGTATTTTCAATTGCCTCATATGCATATAAAAGTTGAAATACGAATATGGAAGACATTAGAAAAATCAACACATTTGAAGAATGGTGTTGGGAAAGAATATTGAAAGTATCATGGACTGCTAGAAAGAGAAGCAAGTCTGTCTTGGGAGAAATAAAGCTAGAATGTCCCTTACAATCAAGGATGGCAAGACTTCATCTCTTGTACTTTGAACATGTTGCTAGGAGGGACCCGTCCCTGGAGAAAAACATCATGCGTGGTGAACTGGAGGGTCAGCAAAAAAAAAAAAAGAAATACCCCAAGCAAGATGGATTAACACACTGGCAACAACAATGGGCTCAAACATAACAAGTGAGGGTGGGGCAGGACTGGGCAGTGCTTCATTCTGTTGAACAAAGAGCTGCTATAGTCAGAACCAACTCGACCACAACTAACAACAAGGATGACAACATTAAAAAAAACAAGTCAGAGAATTTAATTCTTGAGGGAAAAAGAGATTAGGCTACTGTCTTAGGCTGAGTTCGCTAAAGAAGCAAAACCAGTGCAATTAAGTTGACACAGAACCTCAACTCTAAGTGCTATCATACATTTAACAATTGCAAAATATTTTATATCATATTGATAGTAATCGGATAAAAGTTACCATTCACATTGTATTAAAGAAGAAACTTTGAGGAAGTAACTCACCAAAGATCTCAAGTAATAAGACATAGGCATTGAACGGGTCTTTGTGATGCCAGAGACTGTGCTTTTCCAACTGGATCATCAGTATACTTGTATCATGGACACAATGACCTAGAGTGGAGGCAAAACCCTCAGGGGAGGATGTGGCATGCAGGAAGAGCAGTGGTCTGGAGGTCAAAGGGTTACAAGTCAGACATTGTCGTTCCCTCACTCTGCCATTTTCACTGGCCATGGAACATTACTGGAGATCTATGGAAACTTACTTTCTGAGATTTTGAAGTCCTTTTAAGTTTTATAATCTTGCAACTCCCTCTTTTAACAATTCATCTTTGCCAAAAGAAAAGTAAAAGTTCAAGTTTATGGACAGTTGGCATGTGCAACATCTATCCAAAGATTTCACAATGCAGAGTGCTGGGGGAAAACAGAAACAGAAGAAGGCTGTGAGATGAGTGACTAGAAACCATGCTACGTGCTGTACTCTTATCGGGGCCTTCAGTACATATGTTCATGAAATCAACCCCTACTCAGTGCATCACACATTCACTTCTAGTTCTATTATTCTTTATCAGGTAGTTGGTAGAATTATTTTATATCAGGAAACATTATAATCTTGGGTAGCATTATTATAGTTTGTTAATCATTTTACTATAATTTATATATTTTTATTTCTAAATATTTTATTTATCTATTCATTATTTTGATATTATAAAAATGTGCATTTTTATCTCTTACTTGAGGAAAGCCATATATAGTAGCCAAATGGTAAACTTATTAAATATAAAAATAAACAAGGAGAAACAATTAGGCATGTTTGAATGGGCTAAGTGGGACAGAAATAAAGAATGATGTATACACAACCTTGGAACTACAGGGCTTTTAGATACAGAGATTGAGACATGGTTGGAATGGGAAAAAGGGGGGAATAATGTTAAGATGATTGGCTGTCTTTTGAATCTTGGTATTCCTTGCATTATAATATAAAATAGTCACTGGAGGGGGAGAGAAAGGAATAGTCAGAAACAACACCATAGAAAGCTTTTAAGTCCGTCTTCTGCCTATAACTGATTGGAATACCTAAAATGGGGCTACA